TTAACCCATTAACCCATTAACCCGTTAACCCGTTAACCCATTAACCCATTAACCCAATCATTCTGGCCAGATGAACTTGCCTTATAACCCGTTAACCCGTTAACCCATTAACCCATTAACCCATTAACCCATTAACCCATTAACCCGTTAACCCATTAACCCATTAACCCAATCATTCTGGCCAAATGAACTTGCCTTAACCCGTTAACCCATTAACCCATTAACCCATTAACCCATTAACCCATGAACCCATTAACCCAGTCATTCTGGCCAAATGAACTTGCCTTAACCCGTTCACCCATTAACCCATTAACCCATTAACCCGTTAACCCATTAACCCATTAACCCATTAACCCGTTAACCCAATCATTCTGGCCAAATGAAATTGCCTTAACCCGTTAACCCAGTAACCCATTAACCCATTAACCCAATCATTCTGGCCAAATGAACTTGCCTTAACCCATTAACCCATTAACCCAATCATTCTGGCCAAATGAACTTGCCATAACCCATTAACCCATTAACCCATGAATAACCCAATCATTCTGGCCAAATGAAATTGCCTCAACCCATTAACCCAATCAATCTGGCCAAATGAACTTGGGAGTAGAGTCCAGTCCCACTTGGGCACATCATTGGATTAATGGGTTAATGGGTTGGGCAAATGATTGGGTTAATGGGTTAATGGGTTGAGGCAGTTTCATCTGCTCAGAATGATTGGGGTTATGGGTTAATGGGTTGGGCAAAACATTGGGTTAATGGGTTCATGGGTTACTGGGTTAATGGGTTAAGGCAATTTCGTTTGGCCAGAATGATTGGGTTGATGGGTTAATGGGTTGGGCAAATGATTGGGTTAATGGGTTAATGGGTCGGGCAGATGATTGGGTTAATGGGTTAATGGGTCGGGTTGGGGCCTCCTACGGACATGTTTCGAAACAGACACTAGTTTTGAAACCAGATAGCAGAATCCATGAATAGAAAAGTGAAGTTGCTGAAATGCAGGGGGGGAATGAATACCTACCCAAATATATATATATATATATATATATATATATATATATATATATATATATATATATATATATATATATATATATAATGCTCCGGGTCCCGCCGCCACCCCCCCCCCCCCCCCCATGGTATCCCCCCACCCCCCCCCTGCTGGCCTGCTACTGCACGCCCACCCGCCCTGCGCCGACCCACCCCCGGCCCGCACCTTGCCCGCCCCTGGGCCTTGTGCGCGGATCGGGAGTGTCGCACTATGCCCTGCCGTGTGCGGAAAGTGGCAATCGGCTCAGTAGTTTCCAGCATCTGACATGAATGGCAATGCTGAATTATGAGGGTTGTATGGCCATGGTGAAGATGACGACGACAAGGATGATGTTGAGCATGGTCTGATTGTCGACTCATGTCCCGGTCTAGAGCAGCACAACATCATGAGCAGCATCACCGGTGCCACAGCAAGAGGGAAGACACGGAGTAACACATAAGAACGTCGCGGCAAAAAGAGTACCACCACAGGCCTCACACCACAGGGGGGGCGGGGGGGAAGGGGGGAGGAGGATACCATGGGGTGGGGGGGGGAGGGGGGGTGTGGCAGCCCTGCATCATATGTATATGTCTGTCTGTCTGTCTGTCTGTCTGTCTGTGCGTCGGTGCGTGAGTTCATAGAGAGCGAGCTGCTCGCGAGAATCTGGACTTGTCGCAGCGATCCCGCCTGCGCAGCAAAGTCCGAGTGTTGGATACTTGTCATGCAGGCGCATAGTGGGGCAGATCCATGGCAGTGCGGAAATTTTACGAGGCCGATGAGAAAGCCGGGCCACCAAGGGACGTGAGCGACAGCCGCGGCCCCGTGCTTGCCCGGCATCCAGGAATCCAGCACCAAAACCTAACCAGGAAAGTGGTCCGAAAGGCTCACAGCAGCGAGCCACGTTCTTTGACAAGCGAAGCTTGGCCCAGAGGTCAGTGCTAGAGTCTGCTAGAGCACCTTAAGGTATCTTCAGGGCTCCTTTAGCTCGCTGTCTGGCCCACGGAGGCGGTTGCTGCCAAGCAAAGGTGCCATTACAGCATCCCCAGAGATCTCGTAAGAACTGCAGTGGCGCTTCTCATCTCCTCGCCCACACTCCAAGAGAACTTGTTCAGCCAGGCGAGACTCACCCTCCCGGGCCTGCTCTGGCCAAGGCCGCGCGCGCCCTGGGGGCGAGACTCTTCCGCGACTAAAGACCCTCCCGGCCTGCTCTGGCCAAGGCCGCGCGCGCCCTGGGGGCGAGACTCTTCCGCGACTTTAAAGACCCTCCCGGGCCTGCTCTGGCCAAGGCCGCGCGCGCCCTGGGGGCGAGACTCTTCCGCGACTAAAGACCCTCCCGGGCCTGCTCTGGCCAAGGCCGCTGGGGGCGAGACTCTTCCGCGACTAAAGACCCTCCCGGGCCTGCTCTGGCCAAGGCCGCGCGCGCCCTGGGGGCGAGACTCTTCCGCGACTAAAGACCTTCCCGGGCCTGCTCTGGCCAAGGCCGCGCGCGCCCTGGGGGCGAGACTCTTCCGCGACTAAAGACCCTCCCTCTTCCGCGACTAAAGACCCTCCCGGCCTGCTCTGGCCAAGGCCGCGCGCGCCCTGGGGGCGAGACTCTTCCGCGACTAAAGACTCTCCCGGGCCTGCTCTGGCCGAGGCCGCGCGCGCCCTGGGGGCGAGACTCTTCCGCGACTAGACTCTTCCGCGACTATAAAGACCCTCCCGGCCTGCTCTGGCCGCGCGCGCCGAGACTCTTCCGCGACTAAAGAACCTCCGGGGCCTGCTCTGGCCAAGGCCGCGCGCGAGACTCTTCCGCGACTAAAGACCCTCCTGGCCTGCTCTGGCCAAGGCCGCGCGGGCCCTGGGGGCGAGACTCTTCCGCGACCAAAGACCTTCCAGGGCCTGCTCTGGGCAAGGCCGCGCGCGCCCTGGGGGCGAGACTCTTCCGCGACTGAAGACCTTCCCGGGCCTGCTCTGGCCAAGGCCGCGCGCGCCCTGGGGGCGAGACTTTTCCGCGACTAAAGACCCTCCCGGCCTGCTCTGGCCAAGGCCGCGCGCGCCCTGGGGGCGAGACTCTTCCGCGACTAAAGACCCTCCCGGGCCTGCTCTGGGCAAGGCCGCGCGCGCCCTGGGGGCGAGACTCTTCCGCGACTATAAAGACCCTCCCGGCCTGCTCTGGCACACCCACCCCACCACCGACACACACGCACACACGACACACGACACACGCACACCCCACACACCACCCCACGAACACGACCCCACACGACACCACCCACCCACACACACACAAAGCAAAAATACAAAAAAACCACCCACACCACACACACCTCACACGCACACACACACAAAACACCCACACACCACGCACACACCATACCGGACCGCCCAGGCTCGCACGCATGCATACACGGCACGCGCATAACAGGCGCGCAAACCAGGCTACGCATACAACGCGGAGTCTTCCGTGATCGCTGCCGGCAAGTCCTACAGACGGCATACAGTGCGGGCCCAAGGACAGGTATGTGCAGAGAGTTGAATGGCATGCAACGTGGCTGAATGTGCAGTCAATCTGTGTGTGCAGTCGCCATGCGTTTCGGCGGACCGGTTTACAACGTCGTCTCCGCAGAAATTTCGGGTCGAAGCACCGAGTGGCATGTACCATGCCTGCATATGGTGCGGGCCCAAGGACAGGGATGTGCAGGACATTGAATGGCATGCACCATGCATGAACGTCTATAGTGTACAGTCGCCTTGCGTTTCGGTGGACCGCTTTAGGACGTCGCCCTCCGCAGCCATTTCGGGTCGAAGCACGCGTCATCGGCTTTTTGCGCATAACTTGCATAATCACAGCTATCTGGACTCGTTGGAAATGTGTATTTAGACTAGGTAAGAGGTCGCGTGACCCGTATTGGGAAGCCGGCCGATACCTGGCAGTCGTGCCCGCGCTTCTTCATAGATGGCACCTGAGCGCCACCGTGGTGGGTGGCGCGCATGTTTTTGTATAAGCAGCCAGCGAGTGCGAGGTCCTGTTCGTGAGAGCAAAGAGAGGGCCGCAGAGGATGAGAGGCACTTGGAGGAGGCTTGCCGGGAAGGCTCGGTCGCTGTTCAAGCAAGGGCACGTACACTGATATCAGAACAGACTTGCGAAGCTACCTCCAGCAAGACGTTCGATGCACAGAAGGGATCATACCAAGTTCTGGTTGACGTTATTTTTGTCGTCCCCGCAGCAATTTCGGGTCGAAGCACCGAGTGGCATGCACCATGCCTGCATATGGTGCGGGCCCAAGGACAGGGATGTGCAGGACATCGAATCATGCCCGAACGTCTATAGTGTACAGTCGCCTTGCGTTTCGGTGGACCGCTTTAGGATGTCGCCCTCCGCAGCCATTTCGGGTCGAAGCACGCGTCATCGGCTTTTTGCGCATAACTTGCATAGTCACAGCTATCTGGACTTGTTGGAACTGTGTATTTAGACTCATAACTTGCATAATCACAGCTATCTGGACTTGTTGGAACTGTGTATTTAGACTAGGTAAGAGGTCGCGTGACCCGTATTGGGAAGCCGGCCGATACCTGGCAGTCGTGCTCGTGCCGCTTCATAGATGGCACCTGAGCGCCACCGTGGTGGGTGGCGCGCATGTTTTTGGCTAAGCAGCCAGCGAGTGCGAGGTCCTGTTCGTGAGAGCAAAGAGAGGGCCGCAGAGGATGAGAGGCACTTGGAGGAGGCTTGCCGGGAAGGCTCGGTCGCTGTTCAAGCAAGGGCACGTACACTGATATCAGAACAGACTTGCGAAGCTACCTCCAGCAAGACGTTCGATGCACAGAAGGGATCATGCCAAATTCTGGTTGACGTCATTTCTCAGTGGCTGAGGCAAGGGCACTGCAACGGTCTTTCTCGAGCGACAAAACCTTTGCGGGCTCTAGCAACTCGGTTGCGGCGGCTGGAAGAGGGTCTTCCTGGGCTCTGCGACTGTGCCAAGTCGTTGGTCTCGGAGCATCTGGCCATGGAAGCCGTGGCCGAGCAGCGAGACGCTGGATGGTTGCGTGATCGGTTGCGCACCTCTGCGAGAAGATGTTTCTAACCAATCGCCGCCAAAGGGTCCTCTGGCCGCACAGGTGCAGCATCTGTTTCGGCAGCTGTCGGGGAAGGATGGACAGTGGGACTACGTCTCGCCGGCAGCAGTGTTGCACCAGTTGTGGTTGACCGATGGGGCTGTTTTTCAGCCTGGCGAGAATGCTGATGTCGTCGAGTGCTGTCATGTGCTGCTGAATGCTTGTTTTTCGGAGAGTGCATTCTGGGAACATGGCGACCGTCGAGGCGGGGTGAGTTTGCGGGTTTTAACTGTATAGACGTGGGATCGTAACACGATGTTGAGGACACCTTCGGATGTTCGCCATCAGCAAGAACTACGCGATCGTCAAGAGCTGACTGATCCAAAGTTCTGGCAAGTTACCGACGATAACCCTTTCTTGTTTTGGAGGGCAAAGTCTGCGTGCTGCGCGACCCGTACTGGGAAACCAGCCCAGATGCTCCGACTCAAAGAGAGGTTGTGAAAAAGGACCGGTGCATGTGATTAGCTCGGCTGCTTGTTTCATGCAGTTGCCGCATTGGACTGTGCTGAGGTCATGGCGATGGCATGGGCACTCCGGCGCGGCAGATCACGCCTGCACACACACACACATCCACACGAACACACATGCACACACATGCACATGCACACAAACATACATGCATGCACACACACACAAACACGCACACACACACACATGCACACACATACACACACACACACACATACACACACACATGCACACACACACACATACACGGAACTAAACGCGACATGAGTGCTTCGGAGCCTACGACGACATGCCATCGCTATCGCAGAAGCAGCCTCAGCTCTGTCACACACATACACACATACATTCACGCACACACATTCACACACACAGACACACACACACATGAACACACACACACACACAAACATGAACACACACCCACACACACATGCACACAGCACCGGCAAGTCACGACACCAGGCTTTCGGCCGGGATTGGTGCATGCCATTCGATTTCCTGCACATCCCTGTCCTTCGCACATACACAAACACACACACACACACACACATGAACACACACACACACACACACATCATACACCTTCATAACATTCAGATCCACATAGGCGGTCACAACAACACTCACCCATTCTTTCACTCATTCATCCATTTACTCCCATACTCATTCACTCTTTTGCGTCTTTAGATTGTCTACCAATAGACAAGCTTCACATGTGGGGTTATCCGGTCCTTTAATTTGGGCTGGGTTGGATGGGTGGGCCGCGGCAAAGAACCTGGGCTATCATTCGGTTCCGTTCATGTTTCCTTCCTGGGCTCCTGGTTTGGACGGGTGGGCTGCGGCAAAGGACCTGGGCTTCCATTGGGCTCCCTTCATGTTTCCTTTCTGGGCTGCTGGGTTGGACCTGGACTCCCGTTGGGCTCCCTTCATGTTTCCTTGGGCCGCGGCAATCCCGTTTACCTCGCTTCATGTTTCCGTTCTGGGCTCCTGGATTGGATGGGGGGGCCGCGGCAAAGGGATTGGGCTGCCAATTGGGCTTCCTTCCTGCTTCCTTTCTGGGCTCCTGGGTTGGACGGGTGGGCCGCAGCAGAGGGCCTGAGCTCCCGCTGGGTTCCCCTAATGTTTCGTTTCTGGGCGCCTGGTCTGCCACAAACGTCTACAGCAGAGGCCAGGTATCCGGTATCCTGTCTTGCAAGGCAGCAATGCTGAAACAGTTGTGTGTTTTTCCGTGCGTGGTTTCTGCTGCAGCAAGATCCTGTGGACGACGTTCTTCGTTCGGTTTGCGGAAAAATTGTCAATGGTTCCGTGTAAGGAAAATATTTGTTTGCGATGTAAGCCGACTCCTTCGCTTTTCTTTTTGCCCTGTTTGTGCAGCAAAGTTGCCCGTCTTTCCCGTGCGACAGCCGACCGATCCGTATACTAATCTCTTTTGTGCTTCTTCCACGAACGTCTACAGCAGAGGCAAGGTATCCTGTCTTGGAAAACGGCAAGGTTGTGACACTTGCGGGAAACTTGCCGCAAGATCCTGTGGACGACGCTCTTCGTTCGGTCTGCGGAAAAATCGTCAATGGTTCCGTGCAAAAGAAGATTTCCGTTCGCCTTAGAAGCCGACAAACCTCTTCGCACTTCTTTTTGTCAAGTTTGCACGGCAAAGTTCCCAATTTGCTCCGTCCGACAGGCGACCGATCCGTATACCAACCTGCTTCTTGTTTCTTCCGCAATCTACAGCAGAAGTCAGGTATCCTGTTTTGCAAAGCAGCAATGTTGTAACAGTTAGTTGATCGAATACGACGTTCCCTGTCCTTGTATAGGTAACGTGTCTGACTGTGTAGCTTAATGTGCCAAAGACATGATCTTTTGGCTCAAGTAATGAGAAAAGAGGTACGCTTGCAGCTTGTGTTCCTCTTCGGGCTTTTTCCCTTTTGGGTTTCCTTGCCTTGCCCGGCGATCCTACCCCAATATCGTTGTCCTGCTGTTGAGGGTCGGGTTAACTCAGTTGCGGGAGAGTTATGTGTGTGTGTGTGTTCTCCGTGCTTGGTTTCTGCGAAAGTAAGATCCTGTGGACGAAGTTCTTCGGTCGGTCTGTCGAAAAATTCGTCACTGGTTCCGTGTAAAGAACGATATTTATTTTGCTTTGTAAGCCGACACACCCCTGTGCAGTCTTCTTGTCGCCAAGTTTGCGCGGCAAAGTTCCCACTTTTCCCCGTGCGACAGCCAACCGATCCGTAAACCAACCTCTTTTGTGCTTCTTCCACAAACGTCTACAGCAGAGGCCAGGTATCCGGTATCCTGTATTGCAAGGCAGCAATGTTGTAACAGTTGCGGGAAGGTTGTGTGTTTTTCCGTGCGTGGCTTCTGCGGCAGCAAGATCCTGTGGACGACGTTCTTCGCTTTGTCGGCGGAAAAAATCGTCAACGGTTTCGTGTAAAGAAAGTTTTTTTGTTTGCGATGTAAGCCGACAAACCCCTTTGCCCTTTGCGTTTCTTTTTGCCAAGTTCGCGCGGCAAAGTTCCTACCTTTTCCCGTGTGGCAGCCAACCGATCTGTATACCAACTTGTTTTGCGCTTCTTCCACAGACGTCTACAGCAGAGGCCACATATCCTGTCTCGCAAAACGGCAATGTTGTGTGTGTTTTTTCCGTGCGTGGTTGCTGCGGCAGCAAGATCCTGTGGATCTTCGTTCGGTCTGCGGACAAAATCGTGAATGGTTCCGTGTAAAGAAAGATTTTGGTTTGCCTTGTAAGCCGACAAACCCCTTTGCGTTTCTTTTTGCCAAGTTCGCGCGGCAAAGTTCCTACCTTTTCCCGTGTGGCAGCCAACCGATCCGTATACCAACTTGTTTTGCGCTTCTTTCACAAACGTTTACGGCAGAGGCCACATATCCTGTCTCGCAAAAGCAAAACGGCAATGTTGTGTGTGTTTTTTCCGTGCGTGGTTTCTGCGGTAGCAAGATTCTATGGATCTTCGTTCGGTCTGCGGAAAAAGTCGTGAATGGTTCCGTGTAAAGAAAGATTTTTGTTTTGTGTTGTAAGCCGACGCACCCCTGTGCGCGCTTCTTTTCGCCAAGATTGTGCGGCAAAGTTCACACTTGTCCCGTGCGACAGCCAACCGATCCATATAGCAACCTCTGTTGTGCTTCTTCCTCCAATGTCTACAGCGGAGGCAAGAAATCCTGTTTTGCAAAACGGTAATGTTATGAAAATTGTGGAGAAGTTGCGTTTTTTCTTTGTGCGGTTCCTGCGGCAACAAAATCCTGTGGACAATGCTCTTCGTTCGGTCGGCAGAGATGAAAACGTCGATTGGTTCCGTGTTAAAAGAGCTTTTTGTTTGCCTTGTAAGCCGACAAATCCCTTCCTACCTTTCTTGCCAAACATGCACGGCAAAGTTCTCGTTTTCTTCCCGTCCGACAACCAACCGAAGCGAACACCAAGCTCTTTTGCTCTTCGTCCGCGAACGTTTGCAGCAGAGGCCAGGTATCCTGTTTTGCAAAGGCGGCAACAATGTGGCAGTTGCGGGAGAAATGTGCATGTTTTCCGTGCACGGTGTTGCAGCAAGATTCTGTGAACGATGCTCCCTGGACCCTCCCAAAAACCTTCCCACATGCTTGAGTCCCACCACCCAGTCTTTTTTCGCAGAAATATATCGCCCAATGCCTCATTCTTCTTCGCAAAATCTGCTGGCGAAGCCAGATTGGGATCCAACACATTCCAACTTGAACCGGTCTGATTCGATGCATTCTGTTTGGGGTCTTCGCTGGTGTAATTTCTTTACCAACTTAGCCATAAGCCATGACAGAGGCTCAGGCACACGGCGGTCTTCGCGCCGCACGACAGCCGCCATCGGCCCACAAAAAGAGCGCTTGCCTCGTCTTGCCTGTTCTCAGATCTAGGGCCATGTAGTGTTGTCCAGCCTTGACTTTCAGGACCAGCCGTGCCTTCGAGCAGCGGGCCCAGTCTGTGCTTGCGTCGCTGTAGCCTCCTGCCTTCACTGCATGCCGTCAGCCGACCATGGATCCAGACACAGATCAGGAAGACATTAGCAATCTGAATCATGGAGCCCGGTCAACAGCCTTCACAGCGATGCTCAGCGCACAGGCAGATCCCTACCTGCTCCACTCTGGGTGCTGGCCCGGGACGACGATCAGCCTACAAGTTCCCAGCCGGGTCGCAGCAGGAGCCCCAGCCGAGAGAGCCCTTTGTCATCGAGGCAAGACCGGGCCACAGCGGTCCGATGTTTTCGCAAAGACTCTTCTGCCTTCGCTTCAACAGTGAGCCCTATACCGCCAGGAACCGACACCCCCGTGCTCTGCCCTTGCAGTCGGTGCACAAAGCGCGCCCGGGCCTGCCCCCTCCAGCCTTGCCGCCGGCAGTACGCCCGGCCCCGCCTTTCTCAGTCCACAGCCTTATCAGACCCCGTCCTTGCAAGTGACGCTGCCTTCGACTCTGCCCAGGCGACCGCGGTTTCCGCCTGCCCTCAGCAAAGGTGGCCTCCACCAACCGCCGGGGCCTTGACCCAGCTGGCGTGCCAGCCTTCTGGGACTCAGCCACCCAGTCAGCCAGCCTTTCATACGGCCACCGCCAAGAAGCCTTCGCTACGTGGCTCCGCCCACGGCCACAGGGTCCTAGATTTCCTGTACAAGACCTGCCCTCGCGACCAGCATCAGCCCCGACCTCGGTCCGGCAGGCACGCTTACCCGACATGATGCAGCCCTTGCGCTCCGACGGCAGGCCCACGCAGG